TTCCTTTTTTGCGTATTTCCATCATCTCCGATGGAGCCAAAATTTCACCATTTTTTGGCTTTGGGGTGTGATGGAATAAATCAAAATGGATCTCTAAACTGTCTGCGCTTCTTTAATTAATGAAGTAGCAGTTAGTCAAGCAATGCAACTTTCGACGTTGAGCCGGGGGTCTCTTTGGAAACAGCCTCTCTACTTTCAAGTAGGGGCAAGGTCTGCCTACACACACCCTCCCCAGACCCTACTCTTGTGGGATTTAACTGGGTTGTTGTTGTTGTATTCCTTTTTTGCGTGCTTTCTTCATTTTTTCTCAATCCTCTACTATTTCCACCGTTGGGATCCCTCTTTACTTATTGGGGTAGGGTTAATGTCTTTGTACATCTTAGTCCCCAGACCCTAATCCAAGTGAGAGGAAGGCTTTAACCAATAACACATATTCTATTTCTGGTGTATGGACAGAAATAATGTCATAGATCAATGGTAATATGGTATAATGTATAATTCATATATCTTCATTAGTTATGACAAAGTTGAACTCCTCCTTTCTGCTAGCTAGGCTAAGAACTTATTCATTATGCTTTTTTTTCCATCAGTGAGTTCAAATGACTACAAACCCATTGGTTGTATCTTTAACTCAAAAAGTGGTGTAAGGGGTATAAGGTTATCATGTGTTGCTAAAGTGTCTCTGCTTGCCTATTTATTACCCACAATTAAAATCATATTATGGTTTTATTTGGTTACATGGATACCCCGGTTGCCCCCACAGCCCTACTTCCAAATCACCCTTTTTATTTAGATCTCATCTTCCACAACATCCTCTGGTAAAATTGTGGGGTTACTAAATGTAATTTTGCAGCAGGTTTGCGTTTAAAGATTCACCGGTACCTCTTGGCACAAAGGTGGAATACAACTTACTATTTTGCATTGGTGTTGACTTTCGAACAAAAAAAACTCTTATTTTAGCCTTGGAGAATGTCTAGTGGAGAGGTGAAGAAAGTCTCCCGTGAAGATATTCAACTGGTAAGCCATTTCATATGTAACTAGATTAAATATGTATTTGTGAAATACTCCGTAGACCGTAATATAGATATACTCTCTATTGTGGCAATAGCTAGGATTTTATTCCGTATTATTTTGATTATGTTGGTGGGCCGTGGGTGAATAGGTGATGATACTTGGAGATGGCCATAATAAGCCCATTACTAGGGTGAGTAGCTAGTGGTGCTGGGGACTGGCATATGGGTCAAAAGGGCGTGGGTAGGGGCGTAGGGCTAGTGATGACAATTGTGAGTAAGTCATCAAGAGATCAATGTCAGTAGGCAGTGGGAGTACGTTACGGGTGGTACTGACAGGGTAGGAAGTTGTGTGCAAGGTATGTATTGACGATGATGATCATAAGAGAAGCATGTATGTTTTCTATTTGGAAAATTGAAACAGTTATTTTCGATTCTTTTGTTTAGTTGGCGAGAAAAAACTAGGGAACTTTTCATATCATGTTCTTTTTTGGAGAACTGTGATTTGAACATGTTTTCTGTTTTTTTAATTATTTAGATACTATAATTTTGAAACATGTGTTCTGCTTTGGAAAATCTTTCAGAAATTTTTCCCAATGAGCAGGCTGACAAATTTTCACTACTACAACTAACTGCTCAGGTGGCTGCAACACCTTTTGTGTGATTAGTCTCACTAATGATGCACTACTTACCCTGTTTAATTCAACTACTTTTGAGTTCAGGTGCAAAATCTTATAGAACGGTGCCTGCAGCTTTACATGAACCAGAAAGAGGTTGTGAGTACCCTCCTACATCAAGCCAAAATTGAGCCAGGCTTTACTGAACTTGGTAATAACTTTTTGTCCTTCCTACATAGGTATTTCTTTAGGGAATCTGTTTTGCGCGCACACACAAGTGTAGTTATTCGGCTTCTACTAATTCTTCAGTGTGGCAAAAGCTTGAAGAAGAAAATCAGGAATTCTTCACGGCATACCGTTTGAGGTTAATGGTGAAGGACCAAATACTGAGATTCAATGAGTTGCTTGAGAGACAGGCTAAACTAATGAACCAGATATGTCCGGCTGGAGTGAGTTCGATTCCCTTGACCAAAGGTGGAACTCAAATACTCTCATGTAAGCAGCATCTTCTGTTTTATACTTAAAAGCTCATTCAGTAAGGCTTAAAACTAAAATGGCTGAAGTGCTTGAATGCTATCATGTATCAAATGACACTATTGTGTCCTATCATGTACGAGTATCATATATGATGTGAGATCATTCACGTGAAGGCCCCCCTTGACCACTTCTTGCCAAGTCTTCTTAAGTCTACCTCTTCCTCTAGCCACATGTCTATTCACCATTTGATCAACCTTTCTCACCGAATGATCTATTGGTCTTCTCACCACATGTCTAAACCATCTAACATGAGTTTCCACCATATTTTCTACAATAGGTGCCACTCCAGTTTTAGCTCTCATGTCTTCATTCCTTATTCTATTCATATGCGTATGACCGCTCATCCAATGAGGCATCTTCATTTCTGGCACATTAAGCTTGTGTTCATGTTCACCTTCTGCGTAGTACTCTGTTCCATACAATATGGTTGGTCTAATCGTAGTACGGTAAATTTTTTCCTTTAGTTTTAAAGGTACTTTTTGTCACATATAAAGCCCAAAGCACTTCACTATTTTGATCAACCGGCTGAAATCCTGTGGTTAACATAATTCTCTATTTCTCCATTGTCTTGAATGATATACCCAAGATATTAAAAAACATCATTTAAAATTTATTTCTTAAATAAAATAAAAAAAATCTAAACATAAATGTACACATTTCATTTAATTTGATTTCAGTTAATACAGTAAAAAAAGTGAATTCAATACTCATCATACCCAGTGTACTTTTCATTAAGTTTTATTTTTCATATGAACAGTGCATGAGAATACCTGCACAACAACTGAAAACGCTGGGCCAGTCATGAAGGTTGAAACGATGAACCAAAATATGAATGCCAGTTTACTTAGTGCTTACTCAAACGTGTCCACACTACAAACACATATTCAAACTGCAATTGACATGTCTCCTCATTCGCGGAGGATTAGTGTCTTACCAAGCACACTACTCGCTCAAAATGCCAATGTTGGGTTGATGCATGGAGGACAACCAATGAAATCAGAAGCAGCTGCAGCTGCAGCTTATCATCCTGCCAATTCTAATTTCTTGTTTGGAAGTGAAAACAATGTTCTGGAAATCCGTCCAGCGATCACGGATGCATCCATTTCATCCTTCAGTAGCGTAGAGTCTAATTCACATAGCCTGAACGAGACTGTTTTGGATGCGGCTGATACATCGTTTGGGTTCTTGGGGCAGATACCCCGAAACTTCAGTTTGTCAGATTTGACAGCTGACTTTGCTAACAGTTCAGGTCTATTTCTCGCTCTCTCTCTCTCACTCTCTCTCTCTCATTCTCTCTCTCTCTCTCACACACACACAACCCAATGCACACACCAGCAGTTTCATATTTTAGTTAGCTGTTGATAGTATCCTTGAATTCATGTTTGTTTTTGTAAAGATATTTTAGAGAGCTATTCGAGATCACCCTTTCTACCTTCCGGCACAGATAGCTTTCTGGATCCTCATGGTACAATAGAACACCAAGGTAATTTGTGTTGCTTGTTTACATTGGGAATTATATATGCGGAAGAGGCTAAGGCTAGACTGCACCATTGATATACTCTGTTGAATATTTAAAATGGGATTTAATTTTTTCTTATGCAGTTTCTATTAATTGAATGAGTTTAAAGGATTACTGTTTATATCACAGCTAATAGTTGAACTAAATATTCCTTTTTTATATAATCTGTATTTTAAATTTTTTAAAATTTTTAAGTTAATACTCCTTCCATCCAGACTTAGTTGTCTACTTCCAAAATATATCAAATATAAGGATTATAATAAAATGTTAAATCTGGAAGGCCACTGGGTTTGGCGAGAGATGGAACAAACCGCAATTTTACTGGGAAATTCATGTAATTTTGTTCAACAAAAAAAGAAAGAGGTTTGTTTAAGGAAAAAGTAACAGCACTCCTTGCAAAAAATTATTAATTATGCAAGAACATTACCGATTCAAAAAATTAGGCTTTAATAATTGACCAAAATTTTTCAGTACTGTACACAGACTTGTACCTCTTTTCCTAGTACTAGAGGGGCATTCATATTCTATGTAAAGTGAGTATTTCTAAACTCTACCGAGCCATAATTTTTCGTTGGATGCTGATATATGAGTTGTCTTGGAACTAGTTTCTCTTTTATTCATTCATGTTCATTCTTTTGCCATATTCTTTTGCTCATTTCTCATTCTGTGTTTCTCAAATATGGTAGGTCCATTTGTTCCATAGGTTAACCTCTGGAGGGTTTTTGTAAATAAGGGATTGGGGCATGAAAAGACTCTCAGAATGTGAAGAATTAGATTATGATGACGTCCGGGTTCACAGAAGGATGGGATACATATTAACGATTTGGAGGAATGGGTTTGGTGTACACGTGCATTTATTTGTTTTGTGCAAATAGTTTTACAGGACAAAATATGAACAGTACGAATCTCTCGTTGTATTGTGGCGGTAAAGTAATGTATGTTCATTATACTCTGTAATTAAATTGCAACTCATGTATGTATTCATAGTGGTGTTACTGAATCTGTTTATCACTAACCCGTATGATTCAATTATATATATATATATATATATATATATATATATATATATATGCTCTACTTCTATCCGAGAATATTCGCCTGTCGACAAATTTTGATCTTCTATCAAATAAACATGGTGCGTATCATTGCATGTTAGTACAAGAATATTTTAATTGAATTTATCTTACAAAAAATATTCAAAAATTCATTCTATTGTGATAATATGCAATGTAGATTTGATTCAGGATTAAAATTTATCGAGATTGATTCAAATTTGACGAATGTTCTTAGACGCAGGGAGTAGGAAAAAAACAATGGTCAAGTATATGACATGTGGTTGACAAACTAGCTGGAGTGGAATCGGGCTTGATTGAGACAGTTTTTTGTTGAAACTTGAAAAAATCTAGTTCTTGGGCTCTCTGTAGGTTTGAGACATGATGAAGGTCAAATGTCTTCTGGACAGTCCAGAATTTTTGAATTTATTACACTTGAGCCAGATTTGTTTTGGTCCAGTTTGAGCCCAAAAAGACTAAATTTTAATTAGAAAAAAATGACTTGAGAATAGGGCTGGACATGGTCCCGGTACCGGTGCCAGTATCGGCGGTTCTGCCACCGGACCGGCATCGGAAACATCTTCACGGTTCACCGCCGAAACTGCCGCCCACGGTACTGGGTCCGGTGTGTAGTTTTTGTGACCGGCACCGCCGATACCGGTCTAGTTTTGATTTTTTTGGCTTGCTAACAAATTGATGCAGGTGGTGGGCCGTGGAGAGTTCCTCCAACGGTTCAGGGGAGTCCTAAATCTGAAGAATAAGTGAATAACATTTTTTATTTAATTGTAATTAGTTTTTTAAGTAGCGATATATAAGCTCCTTCGATGGTTTTTTTACGAATCTTTACCTCGTCGTTTTTTTGAATCGTTATGATATTAAATGTAGTCGTTTTTGTATTATTCATTTTCAATATTTAAATAACTACATTTTTAGATATTCTAATTCATAAATTTCTTTTGCTTTTACGCTTACACATTTATAAATTATCAAAAAAATATTTAAAAAAATGGAGGCGGTACAAACTGGCCGGTACAGTGCTAGAACCACCGGTACTAGTACCGGCGCAGTTACCGTTAGCACTGATACCGGTAATGGTGCCATGGGGTGGCGGTAACGAAATCGGATCAGAACTGTACCGTGTCCACCTACTTGAGAATGACACGGGCTATGAATCTACGATATTTCGCTGATAAAATTGATGTTTCTTACTCCTAACTCCTCTTACCCAGACTCTTGGAT